TAACAACACTGATGGCGTTCATTTAAATATGACAGCCATGAAATCGGATATTGTTTATTGTAGGCAGTTTGTGTTTTCAATTACACACATACACGCACGAGTTCATATTTACACAATAATAAAATCAATGAAGCGGGCTTTCATATCACATTTTCCAAAATACTAATTTCAATAGCGTTAGCTTTTAAAGGACTGTTAATGAATACTTGGAACTGCGGGTGGTTTTTGATTCAGGTTCCATCATTATAGAAAAAAATGTTTTTTTTCCAACAGCGGTTTTTTCCACCCGTCAGGCAAACACAAACGCCCGAGTGTATTTCTGCCATTAAAAATTGTCTCATAAAACCATTTACAATGGTGACAGGTAATAAGGTCAATGCAAATAAGGTCAATGGACTTTATTTCCCACCCTGGTGCGAAATAAATTCAATTGACATTATTACCTTTTCAAAAGCGAAATAGTCAACAAAAATTTGGATATAAAGTCATTGATGCTATTTCCTCATTCAAATGGAAATAGCGTCAACAATGCTTAAAGTATGTCGATTCATAGAAAAAAAATTTCTTACAATAAACATTGCCCCGTAAGTGTTGTTTTTTAATAGATGAAAAAGGTTATTGCCAAATCCTCAGTGTTGTGATATTAATCCACACACAATCATGAACTACCACCATTTGATTTTATTAAAAAAAAATAAATTACGAATATGTAAAAACACGATGCGAAAAACTAAACGCCTGCGCACAGCTGGAATACGAGAAATATTTGAAGAAAGAGTGTAGAAATGATCCATAACTTGCAAAACATGTTTCGTTTCCACAAAAATAAAGCGAACACTATTAAATTGAAGAAACAGTCCATGTCCAAAAACCCCGGAGGAACACTGAAAGAATTCTGTGTTTTAAATTAGCATATTTTGAACGAATTCGGAATGTCTAAGGTGGAAAAGAAACCAACTTTTCTATAAGGAAACAATTATAGAAAAAGAATTTTCTTACACTGTATTCATGTCTCCGCCAGCAATTTGTGACGACATCATTTAAAACCAGCTAAGGGGAATGACGACACTATTTATTAGATGGCACATTCAACGAGCCAATGTGCCAAAATGCGGGTATAAACAATTATTGATAATTTAATATCGGAACCGAGATCATATAAGTTAATTGATTGGTTTTCACACACTTTTGAAACACAAATTATATGCTTTTTTACTGCAGACAAGTTATTGCCCCAAAACACAGCAGAAATCTTCCAATTAGGGCTGGCAACTATCCTTAGTTATGAGGTGCCATATTGAGGATAAAAAAGTGCCAAAATGTGCCACATAGAAAAATAAAAGTGCCAAAAAAGGTGTCATTCCTTTTAATCATTCACATTTCGCAATAAAATAAAGCTACATTTCCCAAACAAAAGTGCAATGATAAAATAAGATAAACCAGTTGAATAGCCTTTATAAATTAGAAAATTTTAGTTGAGAAAATGAAGTGCACGCTAAGGATTTCACAAAAATGTATTGAAATGTAATTTTTTTTACAAAAGTGCCATTTTGGCACTTTGTGCCAAATTGAAATATTAAGCGTCATTTGAAGTAAAATAGGGACAAATGGCACGGTTTGAGCCCTGCTTCTAATAACTTACAAATATAAAAATGTGAAATATCGAGGGCTTGAATTCATTAATACCCTCTATCTGCAATTTTTACAAAAACTAATTTGTGATTTTAGAAACCATCTGGGCGAAGCGTGACGTGGTCTCGCGGGGTACGCGGGGCGCGGGCGAGCGCGGCGCGCGCGGTGTGGCGCGCTGACGCGGGCCGCCGCGAAGCTAAGAAAATGTAATATTTGAAAGGGAAATAATGTCAATGGATTTTATTTCGTTTTTAAAAAGGCAATAATGTCAATTGACTTTATTTCGCACCAGGGTGGGAAGTAAAGTCAATTGACCTTATTTCCGTTGATCTTATTACCTGTCACCTTTACAATTCGGAGGAGGAGTAAGCTGTATATCCCTCCATTTGTGTAACAAAATGAAGGCGCACGCCACAAATCGGAGGAGAAGCTCGGCCAAACACTTAGCAAAAGTGGAAGCGCCACCATAAAATCGAACCCAGGTTCTACGAAGTGGTAGTACGCATCTCTAAGCACTCGGCTATAGTGGGTGTCTGATCCGAGGGTATTCGGCTCGAATTCCAAACGAAAAAGCGACAGAAGAAGGTAGGGGATGGCGGGGATGGTTGGTCACGATTAAGATTAAGATCGATATCAGATCTGCACAGGTCGTTCGATGTTTAAAAATGATGTGTCAATCTGTAGGGCTTGGCCTGTAAATGTGCAACAAGGTTTTAATATTTTCGAAAAGAGTTTCCACTTGTGAAAAATCAATTCAAATTATTTAATAAGTTAAATCAATTATTACAATATGGATGTGGCCAAAGCAACATCGCAAAAAAGGTAGACAACAGGTTTTTTCTTAACAGTGATCGCCCTTCGGCAGTGTATTTCTGCCATGAAAAACAGCTTCTCATAAAAATACAATCGCCGTTCGGAGTCGGCGTACAACTGTAGGTCCCTCCCCTTTTGTGTGACAACATCAAGGCGCACGCCACAAATCTGAGGAGAAGCTTGGCCAAACACTAACATACATATGTGTAAGTAAGCGTCAATTTATTATTTTTATTATATCAATCGAAATGTTTTTGAAAAGGCTTTATTCCTTACCTTGCGTTTACATTAGGCAAGACAATTGAGAATATGAAATAGTTGTCAAATTGTTTTGCGAAATATTCAAACACAAATCAATTTTTCATAATTCTGCGATTTTTTGCGATTATGTGTTGCCTCTTTTTCCCAAATTAACCCAGATGTGACCGAATTGTCCAGTTAACTGTCCAATTCACTGCCTTGGAAAAATCAAAGACAGTGGCGAAGACAATGAAAGAAATGTGATACATTCAGTAAAAAGTGTGAATGTAGTGCAATTTTCTTCGTAAAATTAAGTTAATTAGATGTAGGAGTGTTGCCATCTGTTTAAATGAGTCCAATTCAAACTAAGGCAATTAGGAAATTGAAATATATAACACTTTGTGTATCAGTGAAAAGAGTTTGCAGGGTTTCAATAAATTTTGAAGCGGGTTGCCACCTGTTTGAAAATGTGAATCTATTTAAATTATACACAATTTATATGAAATATTAAAATATTGATGTCGAACTGCTCGTATCGCTGCGGAAAGGTTTATAGGTATTATAGGATAGGAGGAGGGTTGCCACCTGTTTAAATAGTAAAATTTAATTTAATTATACAAACATGTTATGTGAAATATCAAAATATGGGTGTCGAGTGGTCCGTATCGGTGGAGAGAAGGTTCATGTTTATATTTTGAAGAGGTTTGCCACCTATTTGAAAAGTAGAATGTAATTAAATTATGCATAAGGTATGTCAAACGAAAATGTGTTAAGAAATCTTTAGTTTGGAGATTAAGAATATTTTTGAGGTAATTTACGGGGGTTTCATCCTGTTTAAGAATTTCAACTCAAATTATTTAATAAATTAAATGAATTATTAAAAAAATGTGTAACAATCGAGATGGGTTTGAAAAGCCTTTATGTCCGGACTATTCTTTTGAGTGCTGTCACATGTTTAAAAAATGAAATTTAGCTAGAATTGCGGCAATTGAAACATATATCAGAATGTGGGTGTCTGGTTTAATCAGGGTTGCCACGTGTTTTAAAAGTTGATTTTAATAAAACTATGTGAAATATTTAAAATATTGGTGTCAAACAAGATAGTGGTCCGAAATCTTAAATTTGCACTTTTGGTTTGGGAGAGATTTTATTTCTGAATTATATTCACAAGTATTGCCACGTAGTTAAAAAACCAAACTCAACTTAATTCGTTAATTAATTGAGTTTTGTATACCAATGTCAGACGAAAGAGATTTAAGATTTAAGCTTAAAAAGATGAGATGTAAAATTAAAGAGCTTGACCCGTAGCTATGAAATAATGTTTTATTATTTGAAGGTATAACTTATGATTTGAAATTAGAGAAACCGAACCATGAGACCGAACCATGAGACTGCTGTTACAACAACAACAACATTTTTCTTAACTCAGAAATGGAAGAATCGATCCCGATTAAATTTGGCACACGGTATTTTAGGTTTTTGATGAGCGTTGCCACCTATTTAAAATGTTAAATTAAATTTTTGCTTTTTAACGTTAAGAAGAAGTTTCATCTCAGTTGCGCGGAGGATCCACACTCAATTTTTTTGAATAACTTTTGTTAAATTAACTGTGGAATTGTCCGCATATTAAATATGTATGGTGCTTTAAACAAAGTTTGCTGGGAAGCAGAGCTTTTATCGAAAGCGATTTTGGTACATTCCTTTAGCATTAGTCCCCCAGAAGCAAGTTATAAGAGTACATACTTCGACTGCTAACAAGAGCAAAGAGGGAGAGCGTAGAATTCAATGTTTTCCAAGCATGCGCAGAATTGGCAATTCTAATCTGTACTGTTTTTATTTGCATATAAACAATTTACTAAAGAGATGTTTGCTAAAAAATTTGTATGAAACAGATTAAAATGTGCAACGCGTTGAATAAAAAAAAAAAAAACGGAAATCTTCTCTTGAAACTTTAGTCTTTGGCTTTGAAATTCGTGTGCTAACTATTCTCCCCAGTGCATGATTCATGTGATTAAAGCAACAACAATTCAGATATTCACTCACACTCTTCCCTGATGTCATGGCACTTCTATCAACCGCTCTCTCATACCCTACAACTGCCTGCCTCTAACCTTCACCTTGACTGCATGCCAACTGGCCAAGTCGAAAAGTGTGCGAGCGAGCGCATCATCCTGCACATCCTTGCCATTGACATTGGCCGTGAATGCTGCATACATTGATGCGATTCTATGCCCTATTACACTTTTTGCACTTTTATATTCATTGCATTTAAATTACAGAAATGAAATTGTGAAAAATGTTTGATATTAACTTACCCCTTTGGTGGAATGTTCGTTGTTAGTTATAAAATATGTAGTACTACGTAAGCTTGTATCTGTTTAGTAGAAGGCTTAAAGCGAATGACTTTATTTTACTCAATTTACACTGTGGATTATTTTTCGTTTTTATTTTCTTGATTTAGTGGGCGTTTATGTTTTCACTGCAAATAAAAATAAAAACGGCATAAAATTAAAAATTAAACCACTTACTTGATTTGTAATCGTAATGTCGCTTATCAACAATTATTCATAGTACACAAGCTTAGAGTTTATGCGTAGATATAAGTTAAGCGGAATTAGATTTTATGCGAAGAACATAAGTGTGTAATATGTTGACTTTAATTTATTTATATTCTATGTAGCAATCGTATTTAAAGCGTAAATATTTTAAATCATTAATGCCAACGGGGTCTTTCTGGCCCTAACTTTGAAGAAGTTTCATATAAGTTCATTCAAAATAGCAGTAGGAGAGTTAAAATGCTCAACAAAAATGTTAAGCAGGAAAAACAGTTCGCCATATTACTTCGAATCTAAAATTTGTTTGCAAGGCAGTTTAGAAAAAAGTTTAATTTTGGCCCAACCTAGGAGTCAACTCTTTGCATTTTTCGTCATATCTTCGGCATTTACAGCCGGACCTTAAAGTATAGTGCGTATCAAAACTTAACGACACTCCCATATTGACAATATTTGACTATTTATTTTATTATTTTTCAATTTTAATTATTTGTTCATAAAAAAGTAGTTTATTTTTTAACAAAAACCATATAAATCCAAGTTTCAGTGTATGTTCAGATATTTAGAGTATGCAGTTTTGTAGCCCATTTAGAGTCCTTCTGGGAGCCCTTATTTCGGATGTTTTGAAGCGATAGGTATTCCGTGCCTGACTCTTTCCTCCTTTTTATTTTGTATGGAATGGCCAGAGTTTGCAGACCTTCTGATTGAGCTTCCCTTAGAAGGAAAAAATTTACACGAAATAATAATGAATATGTTTGAATTTAACTTTGCAGTAGACACACATCGATGCGTAGACTTCTTTTATTTCAGTGCTATTGGAAAATCTTCTAATAAAGCTTCCAATGAGAAGGTAATTTTTTGCAAACTGGGTAGTTATGACAAGCACTATATCGACGACTGAGTGGAAAATCGACTTATTTCGGCAGCCAGTTCGAAAACGCGCTATGTATCTTAAAAAACTTTTCAAGAACGCCCTAATTTCAGAATTCGGTTCAAAAAGGCCCTATATCAGCTGCAGATTCAGAAACGCCCTACCTCAACATATTTATTTATTTCAATACATTTTCAGTTGAGGTAGGGCCTTTTTCAATTAAATTCAGAAATAGGGCGCTCTACAACCAAACTCTAAGGTAAAGCGTGATGAAAAGTTGTCAGAGATCGGTCGATCTCCCACTCAGCCGTCGATATGATGTATCGATGTTTTTGTTTCGAGCAGAAAAGCTTATTTTGTCCCAAAGTTCATTGACCTCAAGTAACCCGTTCTAGTGCTTAGCCATCAGATCTCAGTTCTTATCACCCTAACATACCACCCTATTGACCGTAAATAGCTAGTCAGTAGAACTACTTATAAAAAAAAAATATTGGTGAATCCTGATAGATGACCAATCAAGTTGGCTAAAATTTTTTTTCGAAACTATGCAGCGAAATACTTTAGGCTCAGGGGTGTACAGCAAATGTTTTTTGTTTGCTTGTAAGGTGGTGCGTTAAAATAAAAAAGGAATAAAACGATTCCAAACAGTCGTAGTAAAATTAAGCATATTGATGCAAAGACACTGATGCGTGCAATAAAATTTACTACCAGCACAAATGCACTTTCGTCATTTCCTTCTTTTTACATAAATATGTAACTCTACTACTACTTACTTGTCTGTTGAACAATAAGTCATTTCGGAAGCCACCAAAATTACGAAAGAGTATAAAAATGAACCTTTTAAAGAAAGTGCTGACTTATAAAGTGCTTTAACTTTAACAGTGTAGTAAGTGTCGAAGCTCAACACTATAAATACGAGCGAGCGCAAATAAAAAGAAAAAGAAAATTATAATCCAAAAATAAGCAAAGTATGTAGGTACTACGAGTAATAATAATATTCTAATGTCAAAAAGTTCAGCGCTTCACATTAAAGGTTTATTAGGCTCAGCGCTCACGCGATTTCATTATATCTTGTTTTATGTACCTCAATCACATGCATTAGGGTGCATCACCAAAAAGTTGGGGGGTTTCTACCGGAATTATCAAATTTACTATATTCTAAGGCTTTCGCCAAAATATTTCGAAAAAACATTAAGATGACAAAAAGTTCGCCGCGCCCACCGGAGTCTAAAGAATTTTCGCAAGGTAATTTCAATTTTATATATTTTTTTTGGGGATTTTTTCGCCGTCATATCTTCGGCATTTACAATTGGATCTTTAAGTATGATATATCGAGGAGAAAATTTTTTTGTTCATTGACCTCAGGTACCCCGTCCTAATACTTACTCAACAGACCTCAGTTCGTACCACATTAATGACACTAAATTAAAACTCGCCAAAAATCATTAAACTTTCGGTAAAGATTTTTTTTATTTCAGTACAACTATTTAAAAAAATATATCGAGCCCTAACCGCCAAAATAACGTAAGCGAAATTTTTTTTAAAATTTTCTTTTTGATGCAGAAATATTCCTAGAGCATGTAGATGCATTTCTGCATCAAAAGGAAAATTTTGAAAAAAATGTCGCTTACGTTATTTTGGCGGTTAGGGCTCGATATTGCCGAATTTATGTAGCTGGCAACGAAAAATGTAAATAATTTAATTTCTTTGCAAATTACTTTACATGCAGGGGTGTACTGTGAACTTTATTTTTGTGTGCATGTAAGGTAGTACGGTCTAATGCAAATCCATACAAAAGTAAGTACAAATGTGTGTATTCAAAACAATGCTTTTCCCAAAGCTGCTACATATGTATTTGGCTGTAATTAACTTCTTTTTCCTTTTTTTTTGTATCTTATGACTTTGACTGTGGCTGCTGCCTGGTTGTGAAGTGTTTTGCACACACACACAGCCACCTACAAATGTGCAATGTATATTTTGTTTAACAAAGAAATATAGTAAACAATTTGACTTTGTAGCCTTTATACTGCATTTGGCCTAAGTGTGTTTCGTCGTGCGTTTTTACTTGCTTGAATATATTAACATATGCACATACTACATACATACATATTTACATTTACTTTCTTTATTAACACATTTTTTGCAGATAATCTTAAAAAAATACCTTTAACAATCTCGCTCTATGCCTGCGCACACACACACACACAATCGCGTACAATGTCACAAATTCCGTTTTCGAAATTCGCACTGTTATTACCAATGTCTCGTTTGCATTTAATTAAATATTTATTTCTCAATTAATTTAGGTACTTTCTTTAGTAGGAGTACGTATTTTTTGAGTTTGTGGTTTTAAGTGATAGCATATCACTGAGTTGCCGTCTGCGTGTATCAGCACAATCACACACTCACGATATTTTGTAACGAAAGCGCAGCGACTTGAAACCGAACCGTTTGGTTGTAACGTTGCAGCTCAACTGAAAGCTGAAAGCGGTTTTCACTATGCTTTGATTGTGCACAGCTTTGAACTCGACTCGAACGAAGAGTGGTGTGTTGATGGTGTGGTTGTGGCTGTTGCTGTTGCTGTTACTGTTACAGTTGCCGTTGGAGTACATTTATTCACGGCCACTGTTGTGGCTGTTCAGACTGTCCATGTCACCACTAAATACTTTGCCGTAGGGAAATGCAGTTGTTTTAGTTATTGCTTCTTTTAACTGCTACTGGTGTTGCTTGACACCACTGCAAAATAAATGGAGCATAGTGGGTGTGAAACTTAAAATTTTATAGAAAAAAAAAATGTGTACTAGATATTTTTCTACCCAATTTGCTGACTAAGCATTGAATCTATGCTTGTACTGTCTCTAACCACTCTACAACCATTTTTCGGATTGGGCCGAGCCTAAAACTAAAACTCTGTCTTTTGCGAAGTTCCGCCAGCAAATAAGTGCTCCTATAATTGTGTCTTTCCATTGTGTTAGTGGTCGCCCTTTCTTTTCTTATCCACCCATGGATTTCGAATGGAAGAATCTTTTCACTAGGCGGTCATCGCCTATACGTTTGACGGGCCCAACGACATTGTTATTCGTTTAACTATATTTCTATGTCATTATAAGGCTCGTACAGTTGGTAATTTCATCTTCTTCGACATCCGTCGCCCACACGAGAAGCGCCAAAGACCACATCAAAGCCTTCTCATCTTTGTTCGAAATTATTCATGTGTGTGTTAATTTTTGACTTTTCACTTCACTTCACGATATCGCAGAACGGGAATTGTTCCCCAGTTCTTTTAAATTGCTTGCCCAGCCCAAAGTAGCACCTGTTCGCGAAAGTTATGCTCCTCTTGATCTCCAGCCTGTCATTACTGGCTTTCCCAGTTTGGTAAGGTTCAGCCTGCAGTGTCCTGTCAGAATTCCTATAATAATACTAAGATTATTCATTACAGGGTTTTAGTTTATATATTCCTAAAAGTGCTATTGGCTTGGTAGTTTGCTTCAGTAGCGATTTCTTTAAGCCTCTTCCTCGAGACGGATCAGGGCAGCGAGTGCGCCTTTCCTATACCGCAGAAGTGCTATGCGCCGATGAAAGGGGTATATGCCTCTTTTGTTCGCAAGTTTATAGGCAATTTCGTTTTCTTAAATACCAACACATATGGACCGGTTTCCAAAGAACCCAAACTCGATTGGTCACACCAAGCGTATTCAGCTTATCAAGGCACTCTTTCACCAGTTTAGATGTTACCTCTTGAGATCTGAGTGCTCTAATAGCTGCTAGGCTGTCAGTCAAGATTGCAATGTTATAATTCTGGTAGTTTCGCTTGATATTAAAGCACGCACATTTTTCTATAGTATACGTTTAAGCCTGGAAATTGGACATACAATTTCACATAGGTTCCGCGTATTTCAACCTCGGTCAAATTACACCTATCCCGGTTGATACCCTCTTCGGTCAGTGAGCTATCATTGTACCACGTTTTAGTTTGTCCATTATATTTTGATTTATCCGATATGTATCGGATATGCCTGCCCAGTTCTTCATATTACTTAAATCAGTTTCAAACATCAAGGATGTTGGTACCAGTCATCCTTGGTAGAGCCCTTTTCGTCTGAGTCTGTATATGGGCATCGCTGCTGAGCTACAAAAGTGACAAAAATAATTCGACCAGATCCCCAACTTATGCAAATGGCCTCTAAGTCGGCGGTTCGCTGTAATAATTCTGGTTGTAGTGGCCGCTGCCACCCTGGCTAAGCCGTCCAATATCTCATTACCGTCTATTATCTCTCGATGTAATACCCATAGCAGCTGAATATTATAGTGTTAAGCATGGGCGCTAAGTTTCTCAATAGATCAAACGACTACTAAGGATTTAAGTTCAATAAATAAGACAGCCTTGAGAGCTACTTGTCTGTCGCTAATGATTAGGATGTTCTCAATACGGAAATTTCTTTGTAGTTTAATATGTGCTCAGTTTTAAAAATTCTAGAGGAAATGTCACTCCATAATGAAGTAATTCCGAATTGTTTTGCTGCACATCTCTATTTAAAGGTATTCTCGAGAGCAATTACCTTATTCCTAGAGCATCTAGATGCATTTATGCATCGAAAAGAAAACTTTGAAAAAAATGTTATTTTGACAGTTAGGGCTCGATAACATCCTTGGGGTAAATGAATAGTGGGAGCTGGGATTCTAGCGCCTCAATGATCCCTAATGATGATTATACCTTTTTGCGTATCGTTAGAATCTACTTAGTCTTTGTACTCGTTCAAAATTTTGTTGTGTTCTATGCTGCGCTGAAGGCTCTGATGTTAAGCTTTATATGGTGCCGCTGGTGAAAAAGTCACCTAACAGGGTGCCTAAAATCTCGTTAGATTTGCTACGTATCGGATAGGTCCTTACCATTTTGGACGAAGCTTTGTGTAAGTTGTGCTCAAAATCACTCTACACAGGCGTTTTAATTTGGCAAATATAGGTATGGCGTCGTAGAGGCTGGTTCTCTTCGTGCTGCCACTGGAAAAATGTGGTTCATGCTACTACTACTAATGACTGTTCTCATTAGGCTCAATCAGTCAATGTTGAGCTTGGTGCTTTCACATAGTATAGTTAGTGAGTATCTACGGGCGCCATGGAGAAGCCGCGATAATTGGCGGAAACTGCAGAGTGGACGAAAGTGGGCTTCGTTTCTAAACAGTGGTTTGGGGGTTTCTTCCCGCTAATCAAGATCTGGAAAAATTTTAGGAAACACGCGCCGAGGTCATTAAACCTTATTCCAGCGAATGTCAGGTAAGTGAGAAGGAAGTTTTGAGGTGATTCCGCATCGTAAGCCTAAACAGCCGCGGCGATATTAAGTCGCATCACGTGAGTTCCTAAAAGACAATGTGCGGCCAGTGCACTTGTAAGAATGGAGAACTAGCGCTTAGATAGCTGAAGAAACTCCCTTGACCTTCCGCGTTTGTCAACCGACCAGAAGGACTTTGCAACTTTGCCTGCTGGAGTTTTTTCCCGGCACTCGCTGAGCCGATTGTAAGCTAATCAATCCAGGAGTAAGCCGGAAGTTGTCCAAGTAACTCCTATGCCCTCGCTGTCCGAGGGGATGGCCTGCCTAGTCCTGCATAAGCTTGGTTTGGAAATAATCCGAGACAACTGATTGAAAGAGAGCTCAGGCATTCCCCGACCAATTTTGATCGTACAATGAGCGATTTCAGCGCTCTGATTACCGCCTGGCTAAATATTGGTACGTAATGAAAGACGCTGCAAAAATCTGAAGGCTGGCACATGAGATTTATTGATAGTTCTTTACAAAAAATACCTTCTCCAACTCTGCCATCCAGCTTTGAGCTCTCCGTGAAGATACTCTTTTCCAGAGGCTGTCATTATCCCATTTTCTCCTTAGACGGATGTGTATGGAAAAGGGTTCGTTCGGGTCAGCCTCGGGACGCTCCGGTCCATTTATTTCTGCAAGAATAATTTTCCCAGTCACTGGTTGAATTAGAAGCCACAGCGGAGCGAACTGCGTCAACTTTGCCCGTAATGTCTACAGTTAATAATATAATATTTTTCACTGTCTAAAAAGCTTTAATTTTTAACCTTGAGCATTTTCGATTTCCTCTTGATATTTAATACCCAGAAAGGTTTATTGGTTTGGTGGTATTACTTTTTTTTCTAACTCTTATCTGAGTGATACATGTAGAATTCCATTGATTTTTCTTACTGTGGAATGTCTAAATCTGATGTACATATACTTACAATTTTTTATAAGCGGTTAATGAGCAAAATACGACACTGTATGCATACTCCATTGATATGTGTAAATATTTTTCGAATAACTGCAGCATCAACACTGTAACGTATTCTGTTAGAAAGAGAGTATAACAGGTTTCGCTGCGGGCAGTACGCTTGCCCATTTTGTAAGAGAGTGGTGGATTCACAAAAAGTTTCCTTTTTTTACATGTTTTTAACAGCTCAATTGTATTTTAGCATTGCTGCAGATGGTAAACACAGCATTTGTAGGTAGTAAATTATTTAATTATAAGCCTGCTGCTGCTTTTCTTTCACCGCATGTGTTTCGATGCATTTTGGTTTTACTTTTTATTTTCAAATTTTTTCTTTTACATTGCATTGCTGTTGGGAACTTTTGTTTATTTATAATTTATTTACCATAAAGCGATGGAACAGCAGACATACACATTTTTTAAACCGTTTTTTTTTGTGTCGACAAACTATGGTCAATGTCAAGTTTATTGTCCTGAAATTGCGGTTTCCTAACCCGGCCTGTTAGTAGCAGATAGCAATTGAGTTTTCAACAGATAATTAAATGTTGGTTTTAATTACTTCCTCTGTAAAATATTATAAATATTACTACTTGTGTATGTACATTAGGACGGAGTAATTTGTTTGGAGTAAAATTTTCGTATAAAATGTATAGCAAATTAAAATTCTATGATTAATTCTAAGCAAAAATGGCGAACAAATTGTATACCTAAACTTACGTTTGACCCTCCCAATTTTCAAAAACATTTGGAAAACTTTTACGTTTTGTTCAATCGTTCCTGCAGAATGTTTAAGAGTTCGGTCAGGTTTCTTTGTGTGGTATATGGAAACCACTAGTGTGGCAAACAATTGCAACCAACAAAGCAAAATTTTAGAAGGAGTAGATATGTGCTTGTCTTGTGTGCTGTTATTAAGCAGATGGGACTAAAGATCACTTTTGGGATTACCGAATGCTCACTTTTTGTGGTTAAACCGCTCTGCCTCTTATCCGCATACATGTTAACCCCATTTGTTTTTTTTTAAGAAGGATGAGACAGTAGTGCAATGGGGTATAGTCGTTGTTCTGGGTATGCAGCGACTCTTGCGTCCACGTTAGCGTACTCTAGGCAACGTGAGCAACACATGTGCGAGACGCGGCAGTCAATTAGATTAGAGCCTTGGGTCACGACAGAAAGAGTGGGAGGTTCCCTTCCGACTTATTC